TGCCGGTAGCGAGAAAAACTGCGGGGAACTCTGCAAAAAACGCATCTTCGCATGGGCAGCCCGTGCATTGGCCAGTTTTTTTTTTTAGATTCTCGAACCATTATTTATTTCTCAGCAAAATATATCATTTGTAGTACTTGGGGTTTTTTATGCGTTTTTTGCATCTATGCAGTGCAGAAAATGCTTATTGACGAGGGGCTATCTTTGTGTGTTTGTCTGTGTCTGTCTGTATGTATGTGCGTCTCTACCGATTTTTTATCTCGAAACTCGTAAAAGCTATGAGGCTGAAACTTTGGAAACTTGATCTACATGCGCGTGTGGGCCCTCTTTCCCAAAATGGGTGCTCTTACCCGCGTGACACCCAAGTCCAGGCCCGCCAAATTTTTGGCGGGGAACCAGAAAAGCTAGAATGCTGAAATTTCAAAGGGATGCCCGCCGTCCACGTAGAGCTTAATGAATTCAAACCCAGCCCCCAGGTATGCGTGGTTCCCAAGCACGGATCTGTGAAAATTTTTTACGGTAAGTTGTTAGCTCAGGAACCTGAAAAGCTAGAAGACCGGAATTTTAAGGAAGTGTTCGCCGTCCACGCAGGACTTAATGACTTCAGGCCGTGCCCCCTGTTATGCGTGGTTCTCACGCACGGACCAGTTAAAATTTTTGGTGGGAAGTTGTTAACTCGGGAACCAGGGAAGCTAAAAAGCTAAAATTTTAAGGAGGTGTTTCCAAACAATCCTGGCGACCAGTTTCAGTTCGTTTAGTCAGAAGCATCTGCCGGAAAAACCGGTGCCGTTAGCAACAAAAACCTGCGGGGAAAAACGCATCTTCGCACCGGCAGTTGCAGTGCCCAATTATTTCATTTTTCTCTCATCAAAAGCATATTCATGTAGTGCGAAGTGCTAGCACTGCTAGTGAAATTTGGAGCGTTTGTTGTTTTTATTTTTAGCCTATGAATGGAGTGATGCTGTAATTTCTGGATTTCCTCTTATGTTTATGTCCCGAAACAAGCTGCCGCTATTTTTTTTGAACTATTGTGTGCCTTTTTTGCCGTGCGGAGAATGGGAGTCTGTGTATGTCGCTGAGTATTTTTTTTTTTTGGAAAATATCTGTTTGTTTCTTTCAGATATTACGTTCGTCGTGATGGCGGACTTTTCCCAGCTCCTGTTCCCGAGTCGTCCACTGAGAGCAAGCGTGCGTGCGACTTGTTTCGAGTTTTGGGCATCTTTCTGGCCAAAGTGCTTCAAGATGGCCGTTTAGTGGATTTACCATTTGCACCGTCGTTCCTGAAAGTCATCGCTAGTTCACAGGTAATAACATTGGCCTGTGTAAATACAGTGGATAAATCATGCTGAAGTTTGCAGAGAGCTGTTCATAGTAAACAATTCCTCGGCGACAAGTATTTCCCAGGTGGTATAAATGATTCCTCTTGGTTTTAAGAAAGAAAAACG